GGAGGAGGAGGAGGGGAGGAAGGACGAGGAGGATGGGGAGGAGGAGGAGGAGGAGGAGGAGGAGGAGGAGGAGGAGGAGGAGGAGGAGGAGGAGGAGGAGGGGGAGGGGGAGGGGGAGGAGGGGGAGGAGGAGGAGGAGGAGGAGGAGGAGGAGGAGGAGGAGGAGGAGGAGGAGGAGGAGGAGGAGGAGGAGGAGCAGCAGCAGCAGCAGCAGCAGCAGCAGCAGCAGCAGCAGCAGCAGCAGCAAGATTTGGAGGGGTATGTGTTGCAGTAGTCAGTAGAGCAGTAACAGCATACACCCCTGAAGGAAGATCCACTGTCAACAGCAGCAGCTCAAGCAGAGCCGCCCCTTTCCCCTCTGCCCCATCCACCTCCTCTTCCACCTCGTCCTCTCTCCTCCACTCTACCCTTCCTGCTGCGTCTGCTCCTTCAACAACTGCCCTTTTCTTTCACCCCACTCATCCTTCTACCTCTGCCGCTTCTGCCTCTGCCTCTTTCCTACACCCTACCCTTCCTGTCAACTCGGCCCCTTTCACATCGGTCCCTTTTCTACACTCTACCCTTCCTGCTATATATTCCGCTGGAAATCCACTCACCACCCTTCCGCTCCAGGTCATGTGTCCAGCTTATTATGGTGTTCTGCATACCTCTGCTGCCACACCAACCCTTGGTGGTGCTACCATGGGATGATGTTCCAGCCAGCAGCAGGGTTCAACATGTGCTGGAGTAGATGGGAGTGGGTTTCTGGGCTTTTATGTGCCAGGAGAAGATGCAGGCAGGTTTGAAGGGCTGGGATTCTACGGTGTGACAGCAGGTGAAGGGGGGCAGTCCGATGCGTTTGCGGATTGGTTCCCTCACCAGCTCGTGGGGGTTGAAGAAGGCAATGCAACTGGTGGAAGTGGGTTCGGTGCGGTGAAAGCCAAGGAGGGAGCGGAAAAATGGGAGATTTCTGCAGAGGAAAACATCGGTGGAAGCAGAGGGATTACTGGCAAGAAAGGGGTGATGGAGGAGGAGGGTGTATTGCAGATGAGGAATCTAGCTGGTATAAGGGGGCCTCCAGGAATGGATGAGCATTTTGATGGCCTTGCTTCTCGTGATGAATGGGTGGCAAGTGAACACCACTATCAGCTGCCTCATATCCACCATTCTCAGCTGCTCCACCATTCTCAGCAGCTCCACCATTCTCAGCAGCAGCAGCAGCAGCAGCAGCAGCAGCAGCAGCAGCAGCAGCAGCAGCAGCAGCAGCAGTAGCAGCAGCAGCAGCAGCAGCAGCAGCAGCAGCAGTACCAACCGACAGAGACGGAAGGACAGCAAGGAGGTTCTATGGGTTTTGAAGGTAAAAATGGTAGTGGTAACTGCACAATGCAAAGCATATCTGATAGTACAGCTAACTTGGTGTTTGAGAAGCGTCAGGAGCAGTTATTTTGTACTAAGGGTGGTAACGAAAACTACATGATGCCAAGGTTTCTAGGAATGCAGGCAAACCAACAGAGCATGTCACTTCAGAGGCAGTCTGTAGCATCTGGTCCAACCTCACAACAGCATCAGCCAGGTCAACAAGGTCAATGGGGTCAATGGGGTCCACAGAGTCAACAGAGTGAACAGAGTCAACAGAGTCAACAGGGTCAACAGGGTCAACAGGACCATGGGGCAGGTGTGGTGGTAGGTGCGGCAGCAGATCCGTCCGGTCTTTCGGGTGTGGAGCGGACTGGAACTCCTGTCGGACTCTCGGCACTGGCAGCAGGGCAGCAGGCGATGGGAGCAGGGCAGCAGGCGATGGCAGCAGGGCAGCAAGCAGTAGCAGAAGGGCAGCATGCAGTGGCAGGGGAACAAGCGTTGGCAGCAGCGCAACATGCAGCGACAGGAGAACTTGGAGGCTATAAGGGGGTCATTGTTGGGGTGCCTGAAGAAGTGGTGATGGCTGGTGGGGACGCATCCCTTCAAGAAGCAGAGGAGGCAGTGGCGTCGGTGGCGGCGGTGGAGGCAGTGGAGGGGGAGGAGAGGGTGGAGGCAGTGGCGGCAGTAGAGGAGGTGGAGGCGGTGGCGGCGATGGCAGCGGTGGAGGTACCCAACATGGCAGGTTCAGCTTCAAGCATGCTTCCTAGCTGGTATGCTGAAACGATGCAGTATCCGCCTGTCATGATGCCCCCATTTATGCCGCTTGGTAGATATGGTCATGGCATGCGGTATGCTTCTACCATGTCCCTTGGGTCTTCTGATGTTTTGAGTCCCTACGCGCAGCAGCAGCAGCAGCAGCAGCAGCATCTCACTCCAAGCTTCCATCGACACAACTCTCTCGATCTGACGGCTCGCAGAAGGGCCAATGCGGCTGCACGGTGTGCGTCTGAAGACCTCGTTCAGGAACCTCCATTTACAGAGGACACTACAGAGCTGCAGGAATTCAGGAGCCACACCCCAGCCTTGGAAAATGACGATCCAATCTCCAAGCTTTCCAGCCCTCCTTGGTGCGAGCCTCGACTCAAGCCCCATCACAAGCCCCACTCCAAACCCGCGCCGCATATTTTTCAGAGCCACAGCGTAACTTTCCCCCTGAAGCCACCGGTCCTCAGTACTTCAACCCCTGATTCCTAGCCTTCTGTGTACAACACAAGTGGTGTTGGTGGCGTGAGTGGTGCTGGCGTTGCTTGTGATTCGGGTGCTGTGGCTTGTATGGGTGCCGTATCTCCCGCAGGTGCGAGTGTGGGTAGTGGACGTGTTACCTCTGCTTCTGGTGTTGCCGCTACTGCTGGTGCTGGTGTTGCTGGTGCTGGCGTTTCTGGTGCTGGTGTTGTCAGCGCTGGTGTTGCTGGTGCTGCCAGTGCTCCTGCTATGGCAAGTGGTTCTGGTGCTGCCGGCGGTGCTCATGTTACCGGTGCTGCAGGATTTTCCAGACCTGTTGGCGTTGCTGGGGTTGTTGGGCTTCCATCCAACCCACCCCATTCTCTCACAACAGAATCATACTCCCTCCTCCACAGGTTCAGACGATCACGGTCGCATGAACAGGGGCGAATTGGAGCGGGACAGCTGGACAGGGGAATGCTGCGTGCGAGAACGTACCAACCAGGAAGGGCAGCCAGAAACCACGCCCAAGGGTTACCGAATTACTCGGAAGAGGAAGCACGGGTGCATGCTAGCAGGTACAGGCACGTGCCTTATGAGTCGCCTCACAAGCAGCCTAGCAGGTACGGCCATCTTTCCCCGCATCAGCAGCATCAGCGGATGCAGCAGAGAGAGGTGGCGGGGCAGCAGAGGCTGTGGCTGGTCGAGAGGCAGATGCCGCCGCCGCCGCCGCCGCCGCAGCAGCAGCAGCAGCAGCAGCCAGAGCTACATCAGCAGTTGCAGATGATGCAGCAGCAGCAGCAGCAGCAGCAGCAAGTGCCACTTACACCATTCCAGCCAGCTCCCCGATTCTGTATACAGTCTCTCCCCCCCATCAAAACACCTTATGAGACGGCCCGAGTCGCACCTCGCAGTCTGTCTCTCCCCCCCATACCACCTGCTGCTATCACCTCCACCGCTGTAGCCGCTGCTGCAGCTCCTGCCCGCATTGCTGCCGGCGTTGGTGCCGGTTCTTCTGCTGCTGCCGGCGCTGCTGCCCACAATGCTGCTGGCGTTGCAGTCCTCACTCCCCCCGCCTCTCCTACCACCATCTTCCATAGTATTGCCAGATTGCCTCGATCCAATCACTCAGAGCAGGGCGAGTATAAAGCCACGGATGATGACGCCTCTGGCAGAGCAACGATTCACGGCACTGAGAATGGTGGTGCTGGCAGCAGCAGTGGAGATGTCTTGATGCAGGAAGTCACAGCAGCAGGCTCTGGGGCTGTATACAGTAGCCTTGGTGCGGATCATTCTAAAGCGGAGCACTCTAATGTGGAACAGCCTAGTGAGGAGGAGCCTAGTTCAGACCAGCCAAGTCTGGACAAGTCTAGTGCGGAACAGCCTAGTTCGTCGGAACAGCCTAGTTCGTCGGAACAGCCTAGTTCGTCGGACCAGCCAAGTCCTGACCAGCCTATTCTGGAGAGTCTCTGTGTTGACGAGCTGTGTGCTCTCCAGCATTACACCACGGCAGGTTTCGACCTTCCTCTGCCTGACCGCTCGGCAGATTGGTTGCTTTTAGAGGCTCAGGACACACACCCCACTGCAGCTGCTGCCCGGGACCTCACCACCCCATTCTCTCACATCGACAGGACAACATGCTTCAGTTTTGAGAATTATGGATGTTCCGTAACCTCCATGGAGCTTTTGAGAGGAGCAGGAGTGGGAATGGAGGTTGGGGGAGAGGCTGTGGATCTGGCAGGGTCGGCATATGCAGGAGATAAGCAGCATTTGGGGGAAAATGCGACTGGAGGTGGAATCTACACCATTGATCCGCTAATGATGTTCTTCATGAATGATGGGGAGGCTAGGGACTAAGTATAAGTGATGGGAAGCATGCACTATTTCGGATATAATATTTATATGTATATGTATATATTATTATGTTTATGAATTATTAATACAGGTCACAGGAGATGGGGGACAGGAAGGAGATTGTGGATAGGGACAGTGGGAGGAGCGAGTAAACAGGTGCCATCGTTTCTTCCCAAAACCGCAGCAAAACGAATGTGTATGCACCTCAGAATTACCACCAAGGTTTGTTCCTCCTCTTGCTGCATCCCCTCCCAACCTTCGAGTCGACGCAAACCAGGGCGACTTTCAATCCATCGCTGAGGTCACGATTGCTTTCAAGCTAGGACAGTATGTTGCTGCTTTCACACGGTCCCAAAGTGCTCGTGCAGGAATGGCGAGCTGCCCTTCTGCTGTGCGGTGCGGTGCAGTGCGGTGACATCATCATCATCTCGCTGTTCGTGGCAAGTGTGTAGAGCTCAGTCCTTCGTGCAAAAACGGTGATTATGTGTGAAAGAGAACTAGGATCATCAATGCAAGGACGGTTCTGGAGGGTCTTGCATTGATAAGAAAAAATGATGTAGAATGCTCGCATAATTACATCAACCCAG